GCAGGGACAGCACCCTCGGGCATGGTTGCCTTGTCCTCGGTGTGCTCACAGTTTGATCAGGGGTCTGGAGCCCACAGGTAAGAGTCCCGTGTCAGAGGTTTGCCCAGTGCCCCAGCTCTGCATGGTAAGTCTCTGTGGCGCAGTGTGTTAAGCTAGTGTCTGCACAGCAGCAGCCCAGATGACTGTGGGTTCGAGTCCACACTGCTCCACTTCCAGTGCAGTTTTCTATAAGTGCACCTGGGAAGCAGTGGAGGCTGGCCCAGGTGCTTGGGCCCTGCCAGCCGTGTGGAAGACCTGGAAGGAATCCTGACTCGTGGCTTTACCCTGAGCTGGCTGTGCTGCCATTTGGGCAGCAAACCAGTGGGCAGATCACTGTCCCTGTCCTGCAGCTCTGCCTGCCAGTAGGTCCTCAAAAAGTCCCTCAGCAGGAGCTGGCACCGATGAGGACGGAGGAGCCAAAGCTGGTTTGAATCAAGAACAGGCTCGTTAGGTGTCCTCTACCCCGAGCCCCTGCTCCCAGCTTCCCGAGCTGCCTGTGTGTGTGTGTGTGTGTGTGTGTGTGTGGTGGCTGTATCAATAGTGAGTACATATGAGCGTGTGTGCACAGGGAATGCATGGATGTGTAGTAGTGTGCAGTGTGTGCACACGTGTGTGTACAGTGACTGCATCAGTAGTACAGCTATGCGTTGTGAGCACACGTGAGCATGCACGGATGTGTGGAGAATCTGCACATAGGAGTGTGTGTGTGCACGTGTGCTTCTCGAGTACATGCCCCCAGGAGACCCTGACAGGCTGCGTTCTCCTGCCTCCTCTGTGGACTTAGCCTCCTCCTGCAGGGTCTGCCAGCAGCTGCCCAGTGCCAGCAGCTGCCCAGTGCCAGTGGCCTTGTAGACGTGCTGTCGAGTGACACTTGGTCCCTGTGGACACTCAGCGGCTCTGAGCATCCCCAGGAGACCAGGCTGCTGGCACAGATGCTGGAGCATGAGGAGGTGCTCACAGAGACCCAGGCCTGGCCTCCACCCCAGGGTCAGCCCAGCTCTGCTGCTGCACCGACTCGGCTGTACAGAGTGCAGTGTCACCCTCAGGCTTAAATCTGTGCTTGGAGGCAAGGAAGTCACAGTCCCTCAAATGGTGTGAATCTGGAGGTGTTGGTGGTGGTTAGCATGTGATGTGATTGTGGCGGTGTTGATGTGGTGTGATTGTGGGGGTGTTGATGGCGGTTAGCATGTGGTGTGATTGTGGGGGTGTTGATGGTTAGCGTGTGGTGTGATTGTGGGGGTGTTGATGGTTAGCGTGTGGTGTGATTGTGGGGGTGTTGATGGTTAGCGTGTGGTGTGATTGTGGGGGTGTTGATGGTGGTTAGCGTGTGGTGTGATTGTGGGGGTGTTGATGGTGGTTAGCATGTGGTGTGATTGTGGGGGTGTTGATGGTTAGCGTGTGATGTGATTGTGGGGGTGTTGATGTGTGATTGTGGGGGTGTTGATGGTGGTTAGCGTGTAGTGTGATTGGGGGGGTGTTGATGGTGGTTAGTGTGTGGTGTGATTGTGGGGGTGTTGATGGTAGTTAGTGTGTGGTGTGATTGTGGGGGTGTTGATGGTGGTTAGTGTGTAGTGTGATTGTGGGGATGTTGGTGGTGGTTAGTGTGTGGTGTGATTGTGGGGTGTTGATGGTGGTTAGTGTGTGGTGTGATTGTGGGGGTGTTGATGGTTAGCGTGTGGTGTGATTGTGGGGGTGTTGATGGTTAGCGTGTGGTGTGAATCTGGGGTGTTGATGGTTAGCATGTGGTGTGAATCTGGGGTGTTGGTGGTGGTTAGCATGTGGTATGATTGTGGCGGTGTTGATGTGGTGTGATTGTGGGGGTGTTGATGGTGGTTAGTGTGTGGTGTGATTGTGGGGGTGTTGATGGTGGTTAGTGTGTGGTGTGATTGTGGGGGTGTTGATGGTGGTTAGTGTGTAGTGTGATTGTGGGGATGTTGGTGGTGGTTAGCATGTGGTGTGAATCTGGGGTGTTGATGGTTGGCGTGTGGTGTGAATCTTGGGTGTTGATGGTTAGCATGCTGGAAGCAAACGTAATGAGACACCTAATGAACAGCTCTGTGTCATCTCCGTGGGTGGGACCAGCCACAAAGCTGTGAACTTGACAGCCAGATGTTTGCTTCCTTCCAAACTAATTCTCCATTTCCTGTGAAATGCACCCAGGGCGCACTTCATTTTGATGAAGCAGCAGCGGGTGGGCCGACCTCGTGGGATTAGTTGCTGCTGTTGAAAGCCGTCTCAGATGATGGCAGACCTGGGCATCTGGGGCAGACTTGGGGGCGCTGTGTGCTCTGGCTGTCTGCCGTTCTATTCTTCACTCACTCACCTGCTGCCCTGTAGCAGGGCTCTGAGAGCTCCGGGGTTGAACAGTGTAGCCCACACTCCGTGTGTCGTGTCTCTGCCGTAGTGTCCACATCAAAGCACACGAGGAGAGGGGCCACCTGTTCATCCTGTCAGTGTGTTTAGCGCCGTTGGTGCCTGGCATGGAACAGTTGGCCTGAGAGAGCTCCCGGCCTGGCAGGTCTGCCCACAGTGCACACAGAGCAGAGATCTGGTCAATTCACGGCCACACTTGAGCCACAGTGCTGGCAGCCCACCCTGCCTGTCCCCGCCATGTGCGCTGAGCCTCTCGGTCCTTCTGAGTGTGTGAGTTGGCAGCTGAGAAACTGGGAGACGAGACACTGTTGGCCACACCTGCTGATGGAGGCCCTCCTGGGGCTGGCTCTGCCACAGCCCTCCACCATGTCCAGTGCTCTGGCACTGCGTGTCCCTGTCCAGTGCCCTCTGCTCTGTCTACCGTCTGTCTGGGTGGAGTTCACAGGGCCACGGTCAGGCTGCATTCTTTCTCCTGATTAGAATCGCCAGGGGAAAGTTCCAGGAGGTTCTGAGAGGAAGTCATACTTTAAAATGCTGCATACCCATGTGAAGGCGTGGCATCACTTAGGAATTAGGCTCTGAGCCAGTTTCTTGCAAGACCAGAGTGGAGGGGCTCAGTGGAATCTTCTTCCTGGCTAGAACCTGACGCTTCGCACAGACAGCTGCTTTTGTGGGCCCAGCACAGTGACGTCTTGGAGACACTGGCAGCGTAGGGCCCAGCGCACGGTTCCCCTCCACGTGGGCTGTGTGGAGCCAGCACACCTGATGGCCCAGGAATGTATGAGTCGTCCCTAGGGGATTTAGAAAACGCCGAGCCCAACTTCCCTGCCCTGCCATGAGCTGTGCCCAAAGCATCCGTGGTTCCTCCAGGGACCCGGGCTGCCAGCTGAGGAGGGGACACGTGGGCTGGTCACATGGGTGTGAGGGCCTGAGTCCTTGGATCCCTGGGTCAGCTGGCAGCTTCCACTGTGCCTTCGACAAGTGCGACTTCTGTCACGGGCATAGTGACAGGCAGGGCGGGAACAAGCAGGTGCAGGCCTGGGCACGTCAGTGCCAGGAAGCATGGGGTCCCTCTTCTGACACCCAGCCCTAGGGCGAGTGCAAGGCTGCGCTGGAGCCTGGCGAAGGCAGCAGGCCCTGCCACAGGTCACCAGGAGCGAGTAGACTGCAGGAGCCCCCACGGGTTGTGGGGCCAGGGCACCCATGCTCCCTGCTCAGAGGGACTGTGGGCTTCCCTCACGCCTGCCCCTGCTGTGCCTTCCACGGCCCGTCCAAGCAGCCCTGAGCAGCCCGTGCTGCCTAAGGAACTCGGAGTTGCTTCCTGGGATTTCCTCATTCCTGGCTCCTGTGTGTAAGCCAGCACAAGGTGGCAATAGGATCATTCAGCTACGAGCCAGACTCCACCTGCTATGTAGAAGCGGGTAGATATGCCTGTGGCAGCCCAAGGCTCGGCCCCTGCTCTCCCCTTCCCATCAGGCTTTGCCAAGTGGGCTTAGGTGTTTGGAGCCAACCAGATCTCCGGCAGCATCACGCACTTACCCGGTATGAAGGAGCCAAATAGGATGGAGCCCTCCTCGCAGCATCCGACCCCCGCCTCTGCAGCTGGCCCCTGCCCACGGTGCCAGGCCCTACTGCACCCTCTGGCTCAGCTCCCTCCTGGGACATGCAGGCAGGCATTAGCGCCCAGCCCAGTGGGCCACAGGGCTCTTGCAGTCACAGGCCTGTTTCTTCTCCCCATGCCCACCACGGTCGTGCAACCCTGCAAGCGCCGGGGTCCCCAACACACCATCCTGACCCAGGGACGCCAGCAGCCACCAGTGTCATTTTGTTTCCTTGTCTTGCCAGTGTGTAAGTTTGCCAGAATGTGCCAGTGGCAAGTCATATACATAAACACTTTGCTTTCAACCATGGGGTCCTCAGCTCTAGCTCCGCCTGGCTCATGAGTCCAGTTGAGGCTTGTTGGAAAGCCTGACCTGCCCTCCCGTTGCCTCGGTCCATCCTTCCCGTGGTGTAGGGTACAGTCACATCTCAGCAAGGCGTCCACATGTCAGCTGATTTACCAGGAGGCTTGGTCAAGGCCTGGTGCTCAGGACCCCACGGGCCAGCAGGGCCACGTGTTGCTGCTGCACCTTCAGGCACAATGGAGCCACCTGACTCCTCTGTGTGCCCCGAGAGGGCTGTGCTCTGCTCCCCCAGCCCCTTGTGTGCTCTGTCATCGCTCCCTCCTCCGGCAGCGGCTCCGAGGGACAGTAGAGCCAGGAATGGCTGTGGCTGTCCTCTGCTCTCCCACGTGAACTCCGGAGGGCAGAGCAGAACAGAAAGCGAGTTGCCCCCATGAGTTGCCCCCTTCTCTGTGTGGCAAGAACATGGGACACAGAGCGGGAGGACCGCTGGCTCGCGGGGGTCACCGGTTCTCTTGAACATGGTGATCCGCTGAGTGCCCTGGCTGTCGCTTCCTCTCCCCCAGAGGTCGGACACCCGGCTCTGGATGAAGTGCAGCCTCCACACAGGGCCCCCACTGGTCACAAGGTCTGTGTTGGCTTGTGGAAGTGCCGGCTTGCACGCTGACACCTCTCTTTTCCTTTCAGCTTCTGAGGAGCCTCCCGCTGAGGATGGGGAACCACGTGGGCAAGCGCGAGTTGAACGTGGAGAAGTCCGCTAAGGTACGAGAACCAGGCAGATGTGCAGTCCCTTGTGCCGTGTCTGTGCCACATGGTGGGGCACACTGGTGGGCTAAATGGATCCCATGTTTGAGCTCCCAGCCCCACCCTCCCACTGGCCCCGGGACTGAACCTGCCTGGGATCCAGGTGTCGGCTTGGTGGAGCTGTGTCTCTAATCCCTACCAAACAGGGAACTTGCATGGGCAGGTACTGGGTGCTCGGTGAAGCCCCCGGGCCCTGCTCCTCCAGACCCTGCCACCTCCACTTCTTCCTCTCTGGGGGATGCTCAGCTCTGACCACCCAACACCTTGCAAGCCTGGCTAGTTCAGGGCCCGACGCTCCAGGCTCTCACCTGCCTAAGTCTCTATACCAGCAGGACACCATTGCCCTCCTTCCCTTAGAAACATCCAGGGTGGCCCTTGGCACATGGAGGAGCCCAGTCCTGGTGAGACGTTGCCAGAGCCGGCAGGTGTAGTTGGCGCTGTCATTCGTGCAGATGCAGCCTGGGGATCCTCGACACGTGGGGTCTCCTGTGCTTCTAGTGGCTTCATCCTTTTGCAGCCTGCACTCAGGAGTGGCTCCCTCTGTCTGCAAGCTGGCATTGGTACAGTGATGCCAGGTCCCTGCTGGCCAGGCCCTGGGTGACCAGGCTGCCTCCCTGTTGCGCTCTGTCCCATGGCTGCTGCCCAAGGGCTGTTTGGGGTTATGAGGACACGAGCCTGACGTGGTACTAAACCTTGAGTCCTCCCAGAGGAGGCGCGGAGCAGTGTCCAGCAAGCTTGACCTGTGGTCTGCAGTCGGGCTCTGGTCCGTGAAAATGAGCCTTGTAGGGATGAATCTCTGCTGGGCTGTGCCCGGACCCTGTGCCTGCGTCAGCCACATTTTTTGTCTCCGTCAGCCCCAACAGTAGAACTAGCTGGCCTCTTGCCTCGTGGTGCACCAGGGCCAGTCCATTAATTGTACATTTCGCTCTGACTGCTGCTCAGTTGCCTGCATTAGCAGTCACCATAAAGTGCAAATGTGTGCCGGCACTGTACAAGAAGGCTCTGAGTCTGAGACGACTCAGAGTGAGGTGGCCGGAAGCTGCAGGCCAGGGCTGCGCAGTGGCCAGGACCTGCCCGGCGTGCAGCCCCTGCCTGCTGTGGTCACGCGAGGCAGGTCCGGGTTGACCAGATGCCGTTCTCAGGCTCTCACCTCCTGACCTCTAGTTTTAAAGAGTCGGAGTGTGAGAACATTGGCTGCCACAGCGGACCTGCAGCGGGCAGCTCTCGTGCACGCTCTGTGGAAAGTGTCTGCTGTCTCTGGGTGTTGGCCTGTGCTGCCCCTGGCATGAGTGAACTGCAAGGAACAGGACAGGAGCCCCTGCCCTGCCGTGTAAGGCTCCGTCTCTTGCTGGCAGGCATCTCAGGAAAGCTTTGTGTGCAGCCACAACACCACGCCCACGCGAAGGCCCCCCAGGAAGCCCCACCCTTCCAGCTTTGGGGCTGCCCATCTCTTTGGGAAGGTCCACTCCGTTCCACACCCAGGGTGCTTGGTGCACTCTGTCTAGAGACCAGGGGTGTTGATCCATCCTGGCTCCGTATCTTGCCTTGAAATTTCCTTTGCTTTCCCAGTGTGTGAGTCGAGTGACCGTGTGAGTGGGCAGCATGGGGAGAGGCAGCCGGCGCCTCCAGGCTGCTCTGTGCGTGAATGTAACTGTGCTGCACAGAGAAATGCAATACTCCTAGCAGCCCCAGAGGGTGGAGTTGATGCTCATGCATATCCGTTAACCTGAGCACTGTGTCCCTGCAGGGTCCTTGAGGAGGCCACCCTGGCGCCCAGGCCAGGGTGAGGGGTTGGGGGCAGCATGTCACAGCCTGCCCTTGCGTGGAGCGAGCCGGGGTTGATGAAGGTGGGGCAGCCACACAGGGCCCTGTCATTCACAGAACCCAGCAGCGCCAGACACGGAGTGGGAGTTTTTGTTAAGACGCATTTGGTGTGTTGAGTGGGCATGGGAACAAGCCTGGTCCCGGAGGAGGAGCCTGCTGTCCACCTGCCGGATGGGTGACCGTTCAGCGGAAGGGCAGTAGCGGCATTGGCTGGGGCGGAGGACTTCTGGGCACCTGGGCTGGCAACAGCGTCAGGATGACCAGAGTCAGAGATGTCCCTGGCCTTGCAGTGGACTCAGAGAAGCTCTCTCCCAGGGGAAGGTTGGCAGGCGGCACGCTTGGCCTTGGCACAGCGTGTGAGCGTTGGCCAGGAACAGGTGGGTGGCACCGAATTTGCGATGGGGAACGTGAAGCCCAAGGGCTGCAGGGTAATTAGCACACCCAGCCGGCCTTGGCAGCCTTCATTAGAAGCATTGTGGGGGCAGTTGGAAGCTCTGCCTCGGGCAGCACAAATCCAGCCACGCGGTGAGCACACAGCCCAGGCACGTGCCGGGCTCCTGGCTTCCTCCACCAAGCCGGGTGTGGGGCTCCAGGCACCGCCTGTGTCCTGGACCCAGGGGACTACGCCCTGTGCCCCCTCACACACTCTGAGTCTGCACCCTGGGCTAGGGTCTCTCAGGTCTAGAGATGAGCCACTGAGTTAATTCTTGGGGCAGATGCACGCGGCCTGAACACGTCTCACCCTCCTGTGGGGATACATGTGCCTGACAAGGCAGTGGCCGAGCCGTGAGCCTGGTGCACCCGGCCACTCTGCTGGCAATGTTGGGGTGCCCGTGCCCTCCTCCTCAAAAGGGGGCCCCTGCTAGGGATTCTGAATTTGTCTCTCTGGAGGTACCTTACCAACCAGGCAGGGCTGTGTGGCAGAACTGGCTCTGAGTCAGTGCTGGAGTCCAATAGAGACCCCAGGGCAGGCGAGGCCCTGTGGCCCCTGGACGGCAGGCAGGTGTGTGGTGTGTGATGTGCGTGCATGTATGTTGTGTGTCTGAGGTGTGTGGTGTGCCTGTGAGGTGTGTGCACCTGTGTGAGGTGTAGGTGTGCCTGTGAGGTGTGTGCACCTGTGTGAGGTGTACGTGTGTTTCTGAGGTGTCTGCACCTGTGTGAGGTGTACGTGTGTGTCTGAGGTGTGTGCACCTGTGTGTGGTGTACGTGTGTGTCTGAGGTGTCTGCACCTGTGTGGTGTATGTGTGAGGTGTGTGCATCTGAGTGTGGTGTAGGTGTGTGTCCAAGGTGTGTGCACCTGTGTGGTGTACCTGTGTGTGGTGTACGTGTGTGTCTGTGGTGTGTGCACCTGAGCGTGGTGTAGGTGTGTGTCCGAGGTGTGTGTGATGTGGATGGGCACAGCTGCAGTGTCATAGAAGCTAGACTGGGTGGCGTTGTACATGGTGTGCCCCACTTCCCATCCAGCTCCCTGCCCGTGTGCCTGAGAGAGGTCCCTGGGCCCCTGTGCCCACGTGGCAGAGCCAGGTGGCAGCTGCTGGCCCAGCGCTGGCCACTGTGGGCATTTGAGGGGTGGACCAGCGGATAAAGACCCCTCTGTCAGTGCCTCGCTGTCACTCTTGTCTCACTAGAGAGCAGGAGTCGGGGGAAGGAAGCGTCCTACCACTGCACACAGCACGGCCTAGAAGCGCTGGTTGCGCCCCGGAGGTGGGGTAGGCGCCGGGTGCGAGGGGGCAGCTTGTGGTAGTTGTCCCTGCAGCTGTGTCTTGCATGTGACAGCGCAGCAGGTGGCTGCGAAGAAAAAGAACCCCACTGCGACCTCAGCTGTGCCTGAGAAGGCAGAGCCCCTCCACAGCTGTGGGCCATGACCCCTGCCCAGCCTGGCTCCCACAGGCCAGCCGGTGGCTGGCAGAGGCCAGCACTGCCACTCCGGAAGGGTGGTGGAGTCGGCTGCACCTGCAGTGTCACCTTCAGCCAGAAATGGGCGAGGCGGGACTGCGCAGGCCGTGTCAGTCTGTCCCTCCCTTTGTGCACTGGCCAGCTTGGCTGCACGAGCATGCTGCCTGGGGTGTGGCAGGAGGGACAGGGAGGCAGCGCGGCTCCAGGGCCTCGGGGAGCAGTGGGACACTGTGCTGGGGTCCAGGCGAGCTGCACATGCAGAAGGGTGTGCCCCTGGTGTGCTGCGACGTGGCACCGTGTCCCAAGGTCCTCTTTTGTGGCTTTTGTTTTTGCAGGAGGCCGACACGCACAGAGGAGAACTCGAGAGGAAGAGGAACCTCCGAGAGCTGGCGCAGAGCTCCTCTGAAGACAACGAGGTGTTTGGTATGTGGGCTGGGGGTGGGCGCGGCCGGACACACATGTGATGTGTGCACACACACACAGGGTGGGTTTTAACCTGTGGATGCGTCAGAAGTGGGGCAGGGTAGAGGACAGGGCAATCCCTTCCTGCCCTCCCGGGCCCGCCCATGTGACCCATCCCAGGCCTTCCTGGACGCACACCCCGGGGCTCCCCGGTCACACGCTGGTCCACAAGAGAGGCCCCAAGGCGCCTGGAGGTGCCTGTGAAAAACAACGGCCCGGGAAGTGAAACTGCGCCAAGGCTGGGGGACCGCAGGCCACATGCCAGCTGCAAAGGGTGACTCAGAGGTTTTGGGAAGTCACTTCTGTCTACACGGGCCTGGATCCTGCCCTTTGCCTCCTGCCTGTCTGCTGCCCCGCGCGGTGCCATGCATCTTGCCACTTCCCCAGGAGCAGACGTGTGCCTCCTAGTCTCACTTACGCCACATTTCCCATCAGGACTCTGAAGCTCTGGCAGCCACGCCCTCGGGGCGGGAAGCAGAGCCACCCTGGGGTGCCTTGTTTGCCTCCAGGGATTCCTGAAGGAAGGGAGCAGGCAGTGCCCGCAGGGAGCACCCTGCTGTAGCAGAGGGAAGAGAAACTGCTGAAATGAGCACCCCTCTCCCAGGCACAGGCCGGCCTGACATGGAAGGCCAGCCTGGCACCTGGCCGGTGCCCACCTGGTGTCTGCCTGCTCCGTGACTCTGCCCTGGCCCAGCGTGGCCACCTCAGTTCTTGTTCCTGATGAACTGGTTCATTCCGCGTGTCCCTTCCCTGTTACAGAGTGATGATGCTTGCAGGCACAGATAGACACGGGTGTGATGTGGACGGGGCAGAAGCCAGCCCAGTGGCCGGGTGTAGGCTTTACATGGCGGTCAGTCCGTGTTAGTGTTGGAAGAGCTTACTTATGTTGTATTCCAGTGTCCTCTGTGTCATTACCACCCTAGTGTCTGTTTCCAGGCAATGACTACCGTGGCTGTTCCGGCTGTTCCGTGCGTTTGTGTAAAATGTATACACCACACAACCTTAGAAGACCTGTTGCCATCTTGGCCTAGAGTCAGGGAGATGGCACGCTTCCAGGACAGCTCTCCAGAAACGTTCTCAGAGCCAGCCAGAGTGGGTACAGAGGAACCCCAGTCCACGGACCCGTCTGGGATGCAGGTGTCCGTGGGGACACCGTGCCTTTCCGCCCTTGGTGTTTAGTGAGCAGAGCATCCAGCCAGCCCAATGCTGCGGGCTGTGCTTGGCATGTGCCGCTGAGAGCCCCCCAGTGCTGTGTGCCACTGAGACCCCCGCAGTGCCGTGTGCCACAACCTGCTTCACCAGGGAATGCAGTGTGCGGGGAGTCACGTGTGTTCCTTGCTGTCGGACCTGCGGGCCGCCACCGTTCCCCAGCCCAGCAGGAGGCCCGTGAGGGAGTGACACTGAGTCCTGCCCCATCCCCATCGCCATCTGACAGCCACAGGACCGCCCAGGAACAGGCCCCGTGTGGCAGACAGGGGCAGTGTAGAACCAGCAAGCATTATGGGGTGTGCACCTCATGCCCTGAGGATGGCAGGAAACAGAGCCTCCCGACTGAGGGATGAGGGCAGCGCAGTCCTGTGCATGCAGGGCGGGACAGAGGAGCACAGGGAAGCCATGGGCCCGCAGCTGCCTAGCCAACCATGCGCGCATGCGCAGGGACCTCCTTGAAGGCTGGGCAGGCAGCGTAGGTCTGCCCGGTGAGGCCTGGATGAGGGAGTGGCAACAATCCTGATGGGAGGATTGAGGCCAGCGCTGGAGGGTTAGCAAGCTGTGGCTCCCACAGCGAATGCCCAGAGCTGCCACGACCACCAGGTGCAGACTCAGAGGCTCTGCAGTCCACGGGCCACAGCCAGCCCGTCCTCAGCAAGCAGACAGGGCCTCACGGAGCAGCTTTTCCATGTAGGCCATGCCTGCTCCCGACTGGCTGGGCTGCCCTTGCAGGTGGATCTCCATCTCCGCTGGATGCACAGGCCAGAGGGCCATGTGCTTAGCAAGCTTCGCAGAACTGGGCTGCGTTGTGGTCAGCTGTTACCGAGCTGCATTTGAGTCATGCAGCCACATGCACACATGTCCTCGTGACTGGGACCCCTGGGACCCCGACAGGCTCCCCTCTCCCCGCAGTGTCTCCTGAGGTAGCACAGGGCAGGGAGTGGAGTCCGGCTCCCTCTGAAAGCTGCAAACAAAGGAACCACCAACAGAGGGCAGCTCTGCCCCGTGGGCCGCAGGGTGTCCTGGCTGCACCCCCTGAGCGTGGGGCTGAGGGAGTGCCTGTCTCGTAGCACAGGAGATGCCACCTTGCCACTGCCATGCGTGGCACTGTGATGGCTGCATGCTGGGCATGTTGCATATGTGGGTGGGATCCCGGCAGAAGCCATGGGAACAACGCACACTTGCTCCTTACCTAGACAGTGGAGACAATTCCCTGAGTGTAGCATTCATCCAAGAGACTGAAGAGAGGTGTGTGTGTGTGTGCGCGCGCGCGCCTGTGTGTGCACACCGTGTGTGTGTGTGTGTGTGTGTGTGTGTGTGTGTGTGTGTGTGTGTGTGCGCCTGTGTGTGCACACACACCGTGTGTGTATCCCTCTGTCATAAAGCTTGAGTTTCGCTACACCGGGAATGCCCACGAAGAAACAATCCAGCATATCAAAAGTGCCAAGTCTGCATCGAGTCTTAGCACAGCTGCACCAGTGGCCGAGCCTGGCAGCCTGGGCCTGGTGCCCAAGCAGAAGACAGCCTCTCGCTTTGCCTGGAGGCTGCAACAGCCCCGAGTGGAGGTGAGCGAGGCATCTTCAGGTTGCAGGGGTGACGGAAGAAGGCAGTGAGGGCGGGTGAGTTAGCCCCGCTGCCTGGGCAGGGTTGCACCAGGACTTAGGGTCGCGCCGTCACTGGATACAGTTTATGCCCGTGTCACTTGCTTGGTGGGAATGACGGGTGACCCCAGTGGCCACCACTGGGTTACAACTCCACCCTCACACAGTTGGCCCTGTCGTGTTTTTCTCTGTTGACCAATCAGCCATTTTGAGCAAGAGCTCCTGTGCTCATCTCGATTCACCTGGGCAGGGGCGCCTGGTGACAGAGCTGACTCCTCTCTCAGTGGCAGACAGGCCTGCTGGCTTGAGCTGCGTGACTGTAAATAACACCTTTGGCTCGTGCGTGCTGGCTGCAGCACCCAGTCAGCCCTCCAGCGGGCAGGCCAGAGACCAGTGGCGTCTCACCAGCACAGCCCTGCTTGGCGACCAGCACGCTTCTGCTTGGCGACCTCCACTGTGAGCTGCTGGACAGCCACTGGACCTCAGCATCACCACACAGGGTGGCGTGTCAGGAGACGGACAGGCCCTGCACCCGTGCTTGGGCTTGCTGTCCCTGCTTGCCCCAGGCCGATGAACCGGGGGAGGCCGACCTCTCCAAGGGGGCAGGATTGTGAAGCAAGCACCCCAACACTGGGAGGTCAGGGGCCAGAGGGAGCCAAAGACCGTGTTCACCTGAGCTTTAGAATGCAGTGATTCTCGGAGCTGCTGGGGACCACGGGTCGCTGAGGACTGGAGACCCTCACACCCACACAGTGAGCTGAGGGACACGTGAGCACAGCTGGCTGGCCATCCGAGCACAGGCTGCCTAGGGCTGGCTCCCTGCACCCGTGAGCCACCGGGCTGCCCCGCCTTGCTCTGCCACCCAGCCTCTTTCAGGAACTGCATTTGCAGGAAATCAGACATTCCCCATCATCTCCCAGGGAACAGCTGTGTTACCCCAACACTCAGCTCCTGTGCAGCTGATGGCAGGTTGAGGGGGGACAGTGTGCAGAGGGCCGGTCACAGAGGGGACATGGTGTACAGAGGGCCAGTCACAGAGGGGACACGGTGACTCAAGCCCAGGTTCCCTATCTCTGTTGGGCTCGCTCCCCATCGCAGCTGCCAGTTCTCAGATGAGGATGCTGGCTGCTCTAGTGGGCTTGTGGTGGGCACAGCCCCCGTGCAGCCTCTTGGGGTAGGCTGGGCCATGGGGTCCGAGCCCTGGATCTGCAGGGTGGGACCTGCGTTACTGGGACTTGGCCCTGGGGCGGGTCCTGCCCGGGGTCACTCGGGGTCAGCAGACCCACAATGGGACAGCTGAAGACTCCCAGAACAAAGAGCCAGGACAAGCCCTACAATGGCCCACAGAGCAGATGTGACAGGCTCCAGCCAAGGCCTGGCGGCCCGACTGGGGCCCGACAGTCTCAGGAGGCAGGTGGGCAGCAGGGTCAACACCCAGAGACACGCTGAAGTCTCCCTCCTCGTGGGCACCTCTGTGGGCCTCACCTCGGGATGGCAGGTCTCCACCTGCGGCACCTCCATCTTATGTCACGTGTGGGTCGCTCCCCAGCTGCCTCATTCACAGCCCTGTTGTCCTGCTCTCCTGAGCCTCTCAAGAGCTACACTGGGTCTGGCCCACATGGTGGTCTCACCTGTGGTGGGACAACTTGTGCCAGGCAGGCTGGGCCCGTAGGAGCCCCCTGCACTCTCCCTGGGCAGCCAGCCATGTTTCAAGAGCTGCCTGTCCTCTCTCTTGGGAGCCAGTTGCATTTCAGGAACCGGCTGTCACTCTCCCTGGGCAGCCAATTGTGTTTCAAGAAGCAGCGCAGCCCAGGAGCCAGCCACGGCTAGCTCTGAGTGATCTTTTCTAGCCTACCTAGTCCAACGAGGGAATGGCAGGCTCCCACGGGTGTTCAGAGGAAGAAGCTTGCCACCAGGATCCTCCTGGGCCCTGGGAGAGGGCAGCCTCCTGCGAAGGGGCAGGGCCTCACTACTGGCCACAGCACTACCGTGCCAGAAAGTCAGTCACCTCGCTTCTAGCAAGGTCAGTGCCCAGAACCAAATGCACGCTCCCTTCCTGCCCCTTCCAGAGCCCCTCCTCTCTGAGCCCCACCTGCTTCACTGCAGTTAGCTCCACCCTCAGAAGTGTTAAATCCAGGCTCAGGGAATGCA